TAGGATGCAATAACGGCCATACGTGCTTACAGGGAATGATGCTATTCAATTCCATTGAGGACCCTGTTGATCGTGGGACGATGGAGAATGGCATAGTCTCATTCGTACAATGGTCTCACAGTTGAAAAGCACTAGAGTCCTGGCCCGCAATGTGCGACTACTGGGGATCAAGTGAACACGGAAATGCCAAAATTGACTATCCAAGTATATACAAAAGACCTATTGCTATATTACCCAAGCACCAAGGAGAATGCAGGGATTGGTGTTCCACGAGCCGCACGTGTCGACCTCAGCAGTAGTAACTTGACTAAAGCAAATGCCTATAACAAATTGCATCTTGCACGCGCGTTCGCCAACGCTTTATTTTCTTTATTTACTTCGAATCTTTTATACGGGGAAGGTGTGCGCTTGTGGCGCGTGGAACACTAATCCCTGCATTCTCTTTTATGCTTGGGTAATATAGCATATGGTCTATTATTGCTATTTGGTCAGTCCCTTTGCTGGGTAAATTTCAAGCGCAAAGTGTACAACCATAACACGTTCCGTAAAAAAATGCCAATCACATCACCTTAATGCCGTAGTATTTCACCGCACAGTGTTTATAATTGAAGTGTAAACGCCGAGAATCTTAGAAAGCAAAATTTGCCGTCGATTTGTGTCCGGTTTCGGTTTTAGCGATGAACACAACATGAAACCTTAGTAATTCTGCCGGGCATAAAAGAAATCTCTTACATCTTCGAAATGTTCACATCAAACTATACTCAGAGGGTCGACCGAAGAGCGCGTAGACACTAATGTTCGCAAGAAATAAAAGCTTAGGAAAGCGTTAAATGTGTAGTGATTGGAACATTACAGTCGCTATTACCACTGCAGATACTGGGGAGAGCCACGTGAAAAGTTGCACGTCCTAATGTATTCACAGTGAAGAATGGCGGGTACGTTTCTCTGCATTTCCTTCAGTTCAAAAATTACATTAAATTATTATAGTTACTGGAAAATAACAGAGCAGCCGGCTGCAAGTTCTAGTCGTCCAAATACTTTAAGACTGTCGCCTATCAGCTCTCTCTCTCTCTCTTTGTCCCCTTGATGGGAATAAATATTCAAAAGACATTTCCCCAAAATCTGTCTGATAATACCCGCAATATTTCGATATTCATAAAAATTACATTACTTAATTCTCCCCCCAAAACTTTTTTCTTTAAGTTTTGGTTTGTTGAAGCTATTGAAAACTTTGAAATTTATATTTTTGACGCACACCTGCGTAAAATGAATAGCATATTTCCGCAGATTCGAATTCGAATGTCTGTTCCACAAAACGTTCCTTTTGATGGCGCGCTGATCGTCGTAAAACTTCCGTTATGAAGGTTTGTGGAGATAACACGAATTGGAAAAAAAAAACGCGCACATTCCTAGAAACCGTGAGAGTAAAGCCGAGCGAAAAAGGGAGTAACCCACATTAGCTCTGCAAGATTAGCTATACTACGTAACCGGTTTGCTCTGGTTTTGCTTGTATTAACCTTTTCGAGAAGCTAAACAATGGTGGCGCAGGCAAACATTTCTGCATACCCAAGCGGAAAATAATCGAAGCCCCACCTTCGATGAGTGCTGGCAAAACATACAAAAGCTGTTGCCTATAATAACCTGCAACACAACAGGAAAACTAGGTGTGTCCTTAGGAGTCTCTTTCAGAAGGAAGTAGAATTCATTTCATGACCAAGTTGAAGGCAGCCTATTTCGGTCTTCCTTGACGCCAAAGCTAGCTAGTTCGTGAGCTCGTTCAGATGCGCAGACGTCCCAGTCCATGTATCTGACGAGTAAACCGAGTGGAACATGGAAATATGCAGAGATCGGGTGACCTTGAAGAAGAAAGAAAGTCAGCGGGGTGTTACGTGGCACGCGAGCATCAATCATGATTTCGGAGATGCGACGCCTCGCTGTCTTCAGATACATAATCTATACGACACATCAAAAATGACACACACGCTCAGGCCGGAGACAGATAGACGTTCGACCCAAACACGAGGTCGAATGTCGCATCACGACGCTCTCGGAACGTTTCCTCTTTAGACGCGACACGGGAAGACCGCCTGAGAGACCGATGTTTGGGGCGGGAACGTTGGCAGCCCAGCGTGCTAAGTAAGCCACCGCAAAGACGACTCTAATCAACCGACGAGCAAAGCGCAAGTGAAGCAAGGGAGCGGGAATCGCGGGTGCATCGAGGAAGAGCGAATGCCGGGCGCAGCGACCGGTCTGCTTTCCCCCCGTCTATGCACGCCCATCGGGAGAAACCGATGCGCTAAATACAAATCCGACGGTGGAAGCACTTTCTGACGCGACTGCGCCGCGGCCGACGCGCTCCGGTGGTGGTCCCCCCCCCCCCCCCCCCCCCCCCCCCCCCTTGTTGTTGCGATCCGGTTTTGTTTTCGTTCGACTCAAAACGGGCGAACAGGAAACGCGAGAATGACCGCGCGCGCTCGGGACGCATCGGTGAAGGTCTCTGTCAACGAGGAAAGACAGGCGTTTTTTGGGTATTTCGGACGTGTCCTTGCCCGATAGGCGGGGCCACGTCCACCGAGAGTGGCCCCGCGGAAAGAGAGGCATTTACGGCGACGAATGGCGGTGTTGAAATAGGAGCGTTTTTGCCTATGGGCTTGGAAGCGAGCTAGCTGCTGCTGGCTGCCGTTCGTACGTGATTCAACAAAGACGATGCCGATCGTCTCTAGCGGCCCAGCCGGCCTGGGTTATTTTTACCTCGACGATTCGATAGCTAGCCTTGAGCGACGATATCTCGACGGCGACAGAGTTTCGAACCCCTTCCTCGTCTTTCTGGAGTAAAGTTCGACGAACCAAGTCGCTTGGAGGGACAGTGCGGGGGACACGCGCTGATATTCGCGCCACAGGAACATTCCGCGACAGTGTTTCTGCTCTCTCTCATTCGGGAAGGTTATCTGGCCAACCTCGGGAAGACGTGTTTACCTTTCGTGGACGCGCACGCCGATGCGACGCGCGGAGAGTTATCTCCCGCCAAGCAGGGTGCGCTCGTGTAGGAGTTCTATTTACAACCGGCCGATTCGTAAATACACCTCACCTTGACAAATAATGTTGGCACTGAAGTGAATAAATGTTTTAAGGACGTGAATCTCTCAGTGAGTCTCTGCGACTGTGAGTTTGAGAGTAAAGTGATATTTCCGCTGTAGCCGCAATTCAATGCGTTTTGAATTCTCTTTGTGGTTATCAAACAAAACCTGGCCAGATGCATACGTTCGGTTTTCGTTCCATTCTTTCCGTTGGTGTTACTCGCGGCATGTAAATTATTGAACTAAACAAATCACAAATAAACTTAATATAAAAATTTGAAAAAAAAAAAAAAACGAACAGACGGCATGTTATTTTGTGGTGGCGGAAATATTACCAAAGCAATAAAAGGTCCCAATACCGGCCCTCATTAGGGTTAACATAAACACGCGTGCAAAAAAAAAAAAAAATAGAATGATCAGCACAGAAATTTGATCCCGAAACCGAAACGAAGACAAAGCAAAAATCCACCAATGTATAAAGGATCACGAAAGGAGAAAGAAAATTCATCGAATATTACGCTCGTAAATTGCGTCGCAAGCTATAAGTATGTCGAAATAAACCGAGCAAATATTAATTTTTTTTTTTTTTTTTTGCTTGCGGCAATACATTTTGGTTTTCGTTTCGGACAGGCAACATGAGACGCATCAGGTTGATCACCGGCCGACAGCCAAATGCCGCCGAGGCGATGATGGCCCTTCATATTGAAGCGCACTCCACGTCTAAACGCCCGCTGACAACCACAAACACCGCACTTCAAACAGCGTCCTCTCAGAGCTAACAAGCAAAGCTAGAACCGAGCGTCTAAAAAAAGAAAAAAGAAAAAGAAAAAGTCCACGCCAAGCAGATGGGCCCCTGGGAAGAAGTGCTTGTTGAGCCCGCACAGCTGACACACTCGTCAGGCGCCATTCGAGCGAGGGCCCAACGGTAGCGCGTGGTCGACTGTTTCGAAATGTCAATGTCAGTGCCTCTCGGACGTCCTGCGCCCGAGTCAGGCAGGCCAGCAGCAGCAGCGGCTTGGGCGTGGGTCAGCTGCGAGCGCGTCCCGGACTGGGCATCTCGAGACTTCCTGGAGGGCCGACGAAAGTCCTCGGTGAGCGCACGGCGGGATGATCGGGAGAGGGACGCCACGCCTCGAACGGCGGCCTCGAACGTGAAACCAGTTGTTGTCGGCGTTGCTGTTTGGAACAAGAAAACTCGCTTTTCCTAACCGCTTCTGCCTCGTTCTATTTAAAAAAGAAAACAACGACACGACACGAACGAGCAAAAAGAAGGCTGGTCGCTTTCTGGCCGTCTAAACGGGGACGCCGCCTGGCGACCGAAAATAGGAGCACAGCTCACTCGTCGAATCCGGGCGTGGAGCGAGGGCTCGGCGAGGAGGGGAGCACCCAGAGCTGCTCGGAGCAGTGCACGGGACTTTCTTTGGGGCCTCTCTCGCATCCGCGAGCGCCTGGGCGTCCCCTTCGGCTAATTCGCGCGCGCATAATGGGAGAGCAGAATCCTCGCCGCCGCTGGGGACCTCCCCCTCTCCGACGCCGAAAGGAGCAAGTTCACAGATTTCCCGCTCCAATGTAGATCAAGCCTCCTTCTCGCGGAAACGCCACAGGCTCCCCGCAGTGGACTTGACCGACTATTTTTATCAAGGTCCGAAGTGGCCCGCACTCATTCAGTGCGGCTGCTGTTTGTTGCCGTCTACCGTGCCCTCTCCAGATCTCCTCCTCCACGCATCTTTTTTTTTTTTTTTCCCTGTCTGTATTGCCGGAGATAAGGGTTGTTCCTGCGCCTCTCTCATCCCACCTCGCCGCTTTTTCTTTCTTGCCTCACTGGTATAAAAACATGCAAGGCCACCGAGCCGAGGCATCAGTGTGCATTGAGTCGTCCACCGAAGCAACAGCTCGAGAGGCGGCTCCCAAGGAATTCTAGCCATGAAGACGCTTGTAAGTCGGATTTGGAAGCATCTCTGGACGCCGCCGCACGGCTTCGTCCAGGGAGCGTTCAAGGGCATCGTCCTTCGAGGAGTGAACCACGAAACCTGTAGCCGCTTCCACGGAGTGACACACGCTCAAGGTCACGTCGAGGAGCCGACAGTTGAGTCACGGAGGAATACCGTACATAGTCCAGGTTAATTTCGAGTCGTTCGCTGCTGTCAACCACGTTCCGTGGCGCCGTCGACGCGGGTTGACGCGGCAGCGTGGTCGTCAACGCCGGGCTTCTCAAGAGGGGTCGAGAGCAGCTAGGTAGAGCTCGAACGGACTTCGGAGCACGCCTCGATGTTTCGGTCAGAGACTGACCCTCCTGACCGAGGCTTCAAAGGCAAGCTCCGGGGGTTCGTCGAGACTCGCCCCAATTTTAAGCCATCTTCCTTCACTAGCAAGTTTAGAATGCGAACAACCGCGAGTGGTTTGGGCCGGTTCAACTTCGAAAGGGAATGCCTTTCCGCCGACATTACAGTTCGACATTCAGGTGGGGCTGGCAAACATTCCACGATCACAATAACCTCGAACTTGACCTTGAATCTCGGAAGTGCAATTAGGCGTCGGTCGGTCCTAGTCCCCATGTCTACGCCCATTCTGGCATTATGATAGTTCGACGAAGGTCGCGTTTAAAATAGAGGTAGACGGACCTTCCGAAACCTCACGCTGAAGTTGCTTACATGATACGAATACTGCGGCGGCTGGCAGACCTGTCATAGAGCAATGCAAATGGGGAAAAAAAAACTTTATCCGGCGCTGTCGTTCAACAAGGATGCTCGCGTTTGCATCCCGCACTGTGATAATCAAATTAACTTTTGCCGCTCGGGAGCTAGAGCTTTCCTTATGTGTGTCGATTTCATAGCTTGTAGACGGCATCCTAATTTTCGACCGGCGAAAAGTAAAGAAAGGAACGAGCAGTGTGTCAAGGAGCAGGTCGAGCATATTAGAGCACATACAGGTTAGTCGCGCGTAGAGGAAAGAGCGAGGCCGTCGACCTAAAATGAAGCTAAAGGAGGATTTTTCCAATCAATAGTACGCCCATGAGTGCCGAGTAATTGCGATCAAGTAGACAATTTATAATAAAGAACCGGCATATGAGAGCGAAGTCGATAGCAATAAGCTGAGGAAAGACGAACACGAGCAGTAAGCTGAAACCACTCGAGAAATCAGAGACACCAGCCACAATAGAGCAGAGTCGCGTTGATAACCTCGACGGGCCACAAATGCTTCCGGAGACCTACCTCAAATGTTTTAACCTAGGCAGCGTAACGCGTTGACCAAACCTCAGAGAGACTTCGGTAAAGGAGCCATTAATGCAACGAGTAAATTCTCTGGTTTATCGGGATCTATTTATAGGGCTCGTATCACACCTGCTTACGTGACTCGTACTTGAGGCAAAATGTTCACTCCTACCAAGTTGGAAGGTTTCACATAAACCGGTTTCGGGAACCTTTTTAAGCCTATCAAAGATCAAGTGGAGTCAAATTGCGGTCTCACCCCGTGCAGAAACGCATATATCGCCATATCGAAATTTGTGCAAATATAAGGCCGTATATAGTCATATATATATATTATATGGCTATATATGACGTTACCTGCCAAATTCTTGATATGGCCATGCATGACATTTCTGCACGGGGTCTCAGCAAGAACCTTTTCCCGCGTGACCTTGACGTCGGTTACCCCTAAGCACCGAGTTACGCGATCCGATTGCTCGATACGTCCCCTGACCCCTCGCAGGTACTCGTCCTGGCAGGACTGGCAGCGACGCTTCACAGCGGAGTCCATGGCGGATACGACATCGGCCACCTGCACGCGCTGGGCGCTGTTCAATCTGGAGGCTACGGAGGTGGCGGCGGCGGTGGATACGGCGGTGGACACGGTGTACCCATCGTCAAAGTCGGTTACGTCAAGAAGCCCTATGTGTCCATAGGTAAACTCGCTGCAACGGACTCAAAATCTTTCTCCTCAACTCGCGCGCGAACGAGCCCGAATCCGCCATTTTATGGCGAACGAAACGGCGTCCTACCGACAGGTTTAGTGGAGGAGTGCGTGAAACGCTTCCTCGACGTCGTTTACGACGCAAGGGCAAGGTCGGGCGCACAAAGAAAGCCCATTATTTCGCCTCAGACGCTAGGTGGATCGCATCATCTCTTCCAGCATTTGTGACCCTCTTCCGGGGCCGCCGTTACGAGCTACATTTGAACTCTATCTCCGAGAAAAGGGCAGCGAAGCGTTTAAGAGAATCGCTTCTAGAGTGTCGTAATTTCACCGACGAACGAGGGAATATTTACAAACTCGTGTTGGATTTTTTGTGACGCAAGGGGCACGCACTTCCCTGGGTGTATTGCAGTGCCCACAAGGTACAGTCACCTGCAGGCTAAGTGTCTCAAATATCCGTTGATTGGAGAGAAAGGACTGTAAATTCGTCATGTTGCGTGGCTGACAACTCTGAAGTCACTTGAAGGAAGGCTGAGATTTATCTACTGGCAAGCTCGATACACCTTTCCTAAGATTCAAGACGTCGCTAGGGCCTTGGCTGTTTTCAGCTTTAGGGTATCTTTGGTTGACAAGCATTTTAACTGTACTCTCAAATATGTACATTTGTGAACCTATGCAGCGTACACACCAAGACTAATTGTAAGCACAACGCGGCACACGATGCATTTACTAAAAGCAAGCGAGAGGGGAAAATACGTAGAGTATCTCTGATGACCTAAAATTATCGATGATATGATGGCAGTCTCATCAGCTATACATGAACAGAAGCAAGCGATCCGCCCTCTACTTGAAGGTGGTGAGAGGACGTATTCGAGCGAGTATGCTAACGACCTGCTACACCGAAAGGCAGCAGAGTGAGGCTTGGTGCTGGGATGTTCGTTTTTTGTGCCCAGACTCAAAACGGCCATTTACACAATTTTTAAGCTCAGGGGAACAACAGTGTCCTAATACCGAACCCTTTCCTTGCAGGCTACGTGCCAAAGAAAGTGGTCAAGTTCGTCAAGGTGCCCGTGAAAACGGTCGGCATCGGCATTCGGCCCGTGCTCACGTACAAGGTCGCCCACCAGGTGAAGGTCGGTCACCCTCACTATGGTTACGGTGGTGGCTACGGAGGCCATGGTGGCTACGGCGGCGGTCATGGCTTTGGTCATGGACATGGGTTTGGAGGCCATGGGTTCGGCCACGGTGGCCACCTCGGACACGGCATTTCGATCGGCTTCGGTGGCCATGGTATCGGCATCGGGTTCGGCCACGGTGGCTTCGGAGGCGGCGGCCACCACGGACACTACGGCGGATTCGGCGGCTTCGGGCACGGCGGCTACGGCGGCCATGGCTTCGGGCACGGTGGAGGGTTCGGGCATGGCGGCGGTTATGGACACGGCGGCTACTGGTGAACTGTGTGCGTGTCGGCTGCATCATCTTTGTCATCCTCAGTGGTTGTGGTGAGTCTCTCCTCGCTCCAGTGCCACTCCTTCTTGACAACCGTCGTCGCCTGGTGGATCACGAGCGCCCCCTTGTGCAATCGTTGACCGAGGGATTGCGTGTGGAAAATAGGGTATATGCGACGTTCCGCTCAATTTTGAAGTTTCATATATGTCGCATCCTTTAAAACTGTGCCTATGAAACTCAACCAGTATGGTCGAGGAAAGATGCAATTGATAAGAAAGGTAATAGAGTAGACGTCAATCTTTCCGACATAGCTATCAGCTATCAGTGAGTACAGATCAATCGAGGTTTTGGTGCGCTTGAAACACCCTTTGCTCGCCTGCCTAAGCCATCTCGAACCAGACGAACGGTTATTCGAGTGTACACTGGGTTTTAAGTACTGTACACGTTGAACTCTCATTGCCAGTGCGGAGCCCAGAAGAGGCGTGAAGTGAATACTCACTCGAGAGCGTATCGTCTTTGTCTTCGGTCACGTTGTCAGAACATTTGCCGTTTGCTATTTACGAGTGAAGGTTACTGACGGGCGTTTTTATTTGTTTGCCTTTCAGGAGAAACTCAACCTCATCTGTACATAACCTCATCCCCGAAACCATCTAGGTTTAATTTGTTTATTAATAAAAATCGTATACATTTTTACCCCACCCTGTCTGCTAAGCATTCATTTCTTTCGGGTACTTTCCGTAAATACAAGGACCTTGTCATCGTTCTATAAATGGGGTTTATGAGGGAGGAAAAGCGTAGCTAAAGCTACTTCAAAACTATTGGCTAAAAATCGGATAGATGCTCCTACTGTGACTCTGAGTTCAAACTAATAAAATTAATGTAAGTATAAAACTAACTCACACCTACACACACATACACACACACGCAGCAACTCTACAAAGTTGTTTCTCTTTGTATACCGTTTTTCAAGTATGCAACAGCTCGGAGAAACCTCAAAACTGGACTTTTTTTTAATATACAATTCAGCATAAAATAAGAGAAAAAGAGGAATAATCACGCGAAAGGATTACTCAAGTAGGGCCAATTCCTTGCGCGTGGGTATTCCTTTTTATTTTTTATGTATGAAAAACTCAAATAAAAAGATCACTCACGCAAAAAAAAAAAATTGTTTCATAAAAAAAGGTGAAAAAAAAGGATCTTCATTTTCCATAGTAAGTATCGCACGACGAGAATTCTGTGAATCAGCAAGCGTGCAGAGGACATCAGCCAACCCAAACCACAGGTGCGTGTGCCTTGCACAGTACTTCGGGGGTTTCATTACCGTAGACGTCTGCTCGTATAAACTTTAATAAACGAGGTCAACTGCTCCCGACGGCACGGAATCACCAAAAATAGCTGGCGGAAAGGAATGAAGTTAAACCCCAACCGCCCCCTTTTGAACTGATACTCGAACGACTTGGCGTGAATCTTCCTTTGAAAACTGCTCGTTCCTGAGAGCCAATATCACGCTTCTCGTTAACGACTCCCCGCCCTAAGCTGTAAGTAGGTCGTTTGCAATGTTTAGTTGTAAACGACCTAGGCAGTAAGTAGGTCGTTACAACGTTTAGTTATCCAGCAGGTGTCCGCAGTCTTTGAGCTTCCCGCAACGCCTTCAATATTTCTTGTCAAGTATTTTTGGCTGATGCATTTAGGCGTAACCTTTGCTTTTTTGTTGTTTTTAAAACGAAATTTTAGTTTTGACCATTCGTTTTGTTTTTAAAGGTCGAATAGCAAGAGAAGGACCTTTGAAGATGGCTTCCAAAGATCGAACTTGAAGGGACCATGAATCATTTTTATCGATTACGCTAAATACTGCTTATAAGTAATCACAACGTTCATAGAATCGTGAGAGCCTGGTCGAAGTAAATAGCAAAAACCAGCTTTGCACGCTTCGAGACCAATCTACCATAAACGTGAGGCTAGCTAGTGCATTTGTTTTGTCAAATTATCGCAGAAAACACACGCCTTAATCGGAAGTTACAAATAAAAAAATAAGTTCCCAATCGCTCAATGGGGAGTTATAACTTTTACAAGTCGAAGTGAAGAAAAACCTTTTCCGCGCATCTGCCGGCAATGCTTAGAGCACGCGATGTTCTCCGAACATTCTTACAGTTCGGAAATTTCCTTCTATTTTGTGGCATATTGTAGAGGTGACGAGTGACAGTGAATAGTTTGCGATCGACGCTCAGCGAGCGCCGGCGTGCGGGAGCCCAGAGTTGTAAATGCATAGCTTCAGGAAGTTGTCCCTGATGAAAACCTCGATGTTTCCCTGATTGCATACAAGCCGACAGGAGACACACGTAATCGTGTCAAATGCGATGGTATGCATTTCCCTTGACGCCTCCGCCACCATTGGCTACCGGGCGGATCGCGATAAAGTGATTCAGCTCTTCCAAAAGAGAGAAAAATAAAATAATAAATAGTCCGTTCATATCTTCCGGATTTGTCAGTGGATATCGCATTTCTGGCTCATAGGCCTCATGTCGGTTTCTTTTATATCCCATCGCGCGACATGCAGTTAATACATTTCGACGCCAATACCATTTCGCGCTCCCTTTAAGTGGCGTCTGGGCCTCGCACTTTCCTATAAGATGACTGGGTTCCTGCAGCGAGTGACTTTGGCCGGAAGTAGTCAACGGTGACTTCAGCAAGTTGCCAGCGGCAGCCCTCTCATCTACGTTCGAAAATATAGGCCATGCAGACGGTTTACGGGGCGAAGCTTCGATATAGGGTGCCCAACGTCATATGTTGTCTCCTTTTTTTTTTTTCATTTATTCTTTTCCAAACCGCCCTCCGTCATTCTTTTTCTTGTATCTTTTTCGTCCAGTGCCCGATGACAGCCGAACTTTTTTTTTTTTTTCTTACCGAACAGAAAACACACGATCGGGGTCCCAGTTACCTCAATTTGTTTTTCTTCGGGCCGATTATTGTGTCACGCTCTGACGAATATCCGGCTCTCAAAGAGATGGCTGAACAGCGGCCTATACTGTCCTAAGTACTGGTATGATCATTCGAAAGCAATGCTGATCGCAATAGGCTGCAGCTAGTAGCAGGAGCGTGTGTGCCCATTGCACATGACACGCGCCTTTCCATAAACGAGAGAAAGAGAGAGATCGCCACAGTGCTGACACATCAAACAAAAGACACAGTGTTCTCTCCGGACACGATGACGGAATTATTTGTGGTCACGCCTCTCGCATGTTCCAAGCATGATTGCTTCCTACATGCTGCGAAACATGACATGTTTTGTATGACCAAGGAAGACCGAGCAGCGTTCACCCCCTCAACTCGCAGCAGCAACATCAAGCGGCCACGGATATATGTGGCCGATTATGTGCCACTCGTGTTTATCGTACCCACGCGGTGGGGTTGGCAAAGCACGGGGCACGCGCGAAGTTCAAGACATTGTTAAGGTGTGACCATTGTTTTCATTGAAGTGATTGGGCAGGAGCTACTACCCGAATGCTTGTCGAGCTACTAATTATCACGAGCCCAAATCGAGCGCTCACGCAGTGGTCGGCTCTAATATATGAGCCGCATTGAAATAGCGTCACTCCGGGGTCTATGTTAACAATGCAACCTTTAAGCTACGTCATCAAATTTGCAAAAAATAAAAACGAAAAAAAGAAGAAAAAAAGTGTTCGAAAAAAAGGGAATGTTATTATTTTAGAAATTAGACCCCACCAAACAAGTTTCCTGGTGAGTGGCTTTGGTTCCACCAGTGCCAGTAAGCTCGTGTAGAGAAAAACATTCCAAATGAATAGCTTTGCACCGCCCTTTAAAGTTTAAGCGACGAATTTTGTAACTATTGATGATGTAAATTTGCGCCTGCATGCTTTCCGTATTTTACGTTATGTACAGATCGTCTCAAAGGCAAATATTGGCATTAGTGTTCTCGTTAAAGCGCACATAGTGGGCATTCTCAAAGTCCACCGCCGTTCCAGGAACCTGCCAAGTGCCCATTGACTGAAGGGAATCAAAAAGGGTCTTTGGATGGAGCTGGAAAAAGAAAGCACCCAGGAAGACTGGAACGTCTCTCTCCATGAGGTTTCTTTCTGGATTCTTTCCCACTGGCTTCTGCAGCTTTCGTGCTTTCTTCGGAACGCTTCACCGGGGAATTCCGGACGCTGTTGGGTTGGGACGTACCACCCCCAAAAAATTCCTTTTGTGCACAAGACACAAGGTGAGCGCGAAAGTGCACGCACCTACGCAAGGAAGATATATCCTTGTTAGTCATTTACCACTATTGGCCATAAAAAACAAATCAAAAGAACATATTAGTTCTTAAGAGCGGGAAACTAAATGGTCTTAGGATAGCGTCTGGTGTGTCCACTGTAGGTGTGCGATTTGGCCAGCGCAACAACTGCGGTCGTTTGTTATGACCAACTTTAGGGGCGTGTTGCACGTCAAAAACTACTACCGTTAGTGGTTTTGGCGCATGCAATACCCATCGCCGTACATTCCGTATTACCTTCCGACCTGCCAGAACGGACGTTCCACACGAGTCAATTCATATAGCATAGCTCGAAAGAAGGGGGGGTGACGTGTTGGGAGGAGCGACACTGGCTCCTATAGCGTTCGTCGCCGTTCATCTTAAGGTGAAACGTAATGACGTTCTCCAACGGTGCGCGACTACAACCTCGGCTCGGGGAACGTACGGCGTCCGAGCGACATCGACGACTTTAACCAAAGCCTACCGGACCGGAATAAAGTTCAAATGTCGCGTCATTACCGCTCGTGTAGTTCTCTCTTCCTTTTCACGACTTGACACACCTTCAACGTGAATTTGTTCGGGCGGATCGATCGTTGCTTCGCAGACAATCCTGCTCGCTCAACCCTTCGCAGTCGCCACGATAATCGGACAACGGCACCGTTTGACCTCCGTGAAAACCAAGTTGGCAGCTTTCGCTACGCGTCCAGCAGGAACCTGCCACGAGAAGAAAGATCAACAAAAAAAAAAAAAAAAAAGCGGGGGAAAGGAAATGAAAGGGTGAACGATCGGCGACTCACGCGCGCGAGTTGGTTTAAAACGGCGACTAGCAAAAACGAGTGTATACAGTGGTTATTTCACTCGCAGTTTCGCTCCAAATGATAGGCTAAGCGAGCAGACGTGCTTCCGCGATGGGTCCACGCGAAAGCGGCTAACCGTCCCACGGGAATCATCGCTTCATTTCGCCGTAGACAGCGTTGAAAGACGATCGACCCGGAACCAAAGCATGGACCGCACGCCGGGCACGGACGAGCGACGGAACTGGCCGTCTATCTATAGACTATACAGGGATTATTAGACGCGCGCTGCACCGTGATGCCGGCCCTCGAGGGGGTCACAATTACACGCGCAAGCCTTATGGTCACACATTCCCAATTCGAGCGGTACTAAGTGCCCAATCGGCATCTCAACTCTCCCATAGGGGAAAAAAAAAAAAAAAAAAAAGACACGTTATAGACGGCTTCCTTCATGCGTGTTCGTCTACAAACGTACTGCACCGTAAAATCAACCTCGATTCTTTCGGCTGTATCCTTTTTTATGCTGTTCTGGACTAGAATATTTTAGGCTATGAACTGTACTCTAGGGGGATAATAAAACTAGGATGTACTAGAATGGGAACGTGTACCGGTCCGGCAGCCGTGCGGGCGTTGCGATGTGCAAGCATGCCGA